CATATCTGTCAAGGGACTTATCTCTAAGATTTATAGCAGAAGAGTGGATGACCAAACTATGGTACATACACATAATGGAATGCTATGCAGCACTAAAGAATAATGTAGAGTCTGTAAAACACCGCATAATAGGGATAAACTTGGAGGACATTATGCTGAGTGAAATAAGCCAATCACAGAAGGACAAATATAGTATTAGTTCGTTGTGGAGGGTCAAGGGAAGGTTTGTATATGAAGGGAAACTTTCTTTGTTGGTTACCAGGGCTGGACGGGAAGGGAAGGGAACACTGCCCCCCCAAAGAAAAGCATTGACTCATGTCATTTTAGTTTTGTGTTTCACTGTACATAAATTGTATTTCAATAAAATGCATTTTTTAAAAAAAGTGACCTTTGAAGTCTATCCTCTGGTTCTTAGGTGGGGAGCCTCAGAGACTGAGGCTCCCGTGGAGGTTGTCTTAAGTTTTCTAGGGCTGCTGTAACACAAATACCACAAGTAGGTTGCTTTGAAGAACAGAATTTATTTTCTCACAGTTCAAGTGTTGAGAAGTCAATTCAAGGCATTGGCTGTAGGGTAAGGCTCTGTCTGTTGGCTCTGGGGGAAAATCCTTATCTCAGCTTCCGTGGCCCCAGCATTACTCCGGTCCTTGGCGATCTTCACATGGCATCTTGTCTTCCCCAGTATGTGTTTGCTCCTGTGTCTACTCTGTTCTTTTTGTAACTTAGAACTGATTAGGTTTAGATAACACCCTACACTGGTATGGTCTCATTAACCTAACAAAGAAAACCTTATTCCCAACCAGGATTACATCCACAAATATAGGGGTTAGGATTCCAACACATATTTTGAAGGACACAATTCAGTCTGGAACAGAGGTCAAGAAGCAACGCCCTTTGGAGACTTCCACCCTAGTCATCTGGTCACAGCCAGGTGCCAGTGTGAGCCTGCTGCCCTCTCAGCCTCCCTGTCCAGCTCTCACTCATCTTCCCCTCTCTTCTCTGGCAGAAACTGATGTTCTTGGCACTCACCCAACTGCTGTCTGCTCAGACCCAGCCTGTGTGACTGAGCCATTGCTGCTCCAGCTGTTTCACGTAAGTGTAAGGCACGGACCACCCCCTTACCTAGGTGTAAGGACCTAGGTAGGTGAGGGAGTTGTAGAAAATTGTGGTCAGAGGGCAGGCCCTCAGGAGCCTTTAGTTGGCAGCAGGTTTGTTCTCTTTGGCTGTGCCCAGTGGCAGAATTGGCCACCACTCTGTCACTTTGTCCTAGATCTGCTAGGCCTTAAGGGGGCATATAAGGACCTCTCTGTCCTATCCTCAGGAAGCTAACCAGAAGGCAGCTGGTGTGATGGAATGTCCACAGCACTGGTCCTTGACTGAGACACTTGCTATTCTATGACTTTAGGCAAATCACTTACTGGGTCTGGTCTGGCTTCTCCTCTTGTCTGGTAGGATTTTTGTAAGGCTCAAGAGAGGTGTCTCAGCTATCTTTTGTTAAATAACAAATTACCACAGATTTGGCAGCTTAAAGCAACACTCCTTCGTTATGTCACAGTTCCTGTGGAACAGAAACCCAGACACAGATCCCTTAGCTGGCTCTGGTGCTTCTGGGTCTGTCATGACACTACAATCAAGGTATTGGTTGGTGGTTTCATCTGAAAAGTCAATTCAGAAAGGATCTGCTTCTACTTTCACTTACTTGATTATTGGTAGGATTCATTTCTTTGGGGTTGTTGAACTGAGATCCTCAGTTCCCAGCTAGCACTTAGCTGGAGACCACCCTTACAGCTCTTAGCTGGAGACCACCCTTACCCCCTTGCCCTGTGGTCTTCTCCAGTATACCAGCTTGCTTCATCAAAGCCAACAAGGGAGACAGTCGGCTAGCAAGAGGGAATTCAGAATCTTACGTAATCTATTCACGAAAGTGACATCCCATCACCACTGCTCTGTTCTATTGGTGAGTTAGAAGTAAGTCATGGATCCCACCCCAACTCAAGGAGAAGAGATTACACCAGGACATGAATACCAGGAGTTGGGGATCATTTAGAGCCTACTCACTATAGTAGGCAGTACAAGTAGAAGCACTTTGTAAACTATAGGGTGCTGGTTAGATGCAGGGAGTTACTGTCATCATTTACATCTAGTTGCAAAGAGAAAATGGGCTCACCTGAATGAACAGAGGGCCACTGGACGTGCCAAATTATACTGTGAATACTACGTCTTCAGGGAAACTGGCTGGACCCTAGCTAGTTAATTTCACACCCTTTCTATATGCTTTCCTGACTTAGATTTTAACGTTAGATTTAAGCAACAACAACATGTCTGGGACTTCATTTCTCCCCTAAATAACAGTATTTTTAGGGCCTTTTAAAGTTTACAAAGGGCCTTCACACACATGAATCTCACTTTTTCCTCACAATCAAACTGTGAGCTTTTTGTTAATCTTTATTCTACAAGTGAGGAAACAGAAGGAGGTCAGTTTCCAAGATGAGGTGGCTGCTAAGTGGCACAGTTGGGCCTCGAACCTGGGCCTCAGACCCCTGCTCTGACTATTCTGCCATGCTGCTCAGTTGTTGGCCGCCACTGCTTTACAGCCTCAGTGATACTGAAAGAGGGGAGACCGGGTTTCAGGGGAGGGAGGACACTGTTCTCATATGGCTTCTCCATAACTCCTGTCTCCTAAAAGAGGCTAGACACATCCCAGGGGACTAGGCCAAGACCTTTATCGGGGTCATTTCGACCTGCTGTAACCTCAGGTCATTCCGTAAGTCTTTCTGTCCAGTAAGCAGCCCTCAGTAGTTAGCATACAGGGGAATAGGGGTTGTTGTGAAACCACTTTCTGGCAGTGGGTCACAGCCCTGCCTCCCAAGGCAGTGGTTCATACATTCCACACAACATGGCCACTGAACTCCTGAAGAATGGCCCACCATTCATCTGGGCAAGATCAAGTCTTCAATAGTGATGTCCAACTCTACAGATGGGATATGAGCTAAGAGATATGACTTGCTGCCCCCTGGTGGTAGATTAGATTCGTAACTGCCCAGCCTGTGAAAGAAAAGCTGTACAGACATACCTTGTTTCATTGCACTTTGCAGATACTGCATTTTTATTTATTTATTTTATTTTTTACAAACTAAAGGTTTGTTGCAAACCTGCATCGAACAAGTCTATGAGCGTCATTTTTCCAAAGCTTATGCTCACTTTATGTCTCTGTCACATTTTGGTAATTCTCAAAATATTTCAAACTTTTTTTTTAAACACTGATTTGGGTGGTCTGCAAAGCAAATTGGTTTACCATTCAACAATTTATACACATTTTTTGACATTAACTGCAATTCCCACAATGTAACAGCATTCTCCCCACTTCCTCCTGTGTTTACCATTTCCCTTCATCCTTCTTTCTTATCCTTCTGGCATTCTGAACTTTCTCCCTGGGAAAATGCTGCCCTTTGGATCTTGCATGGTTGGTTGTTCTAATGAGTGTGCACCTTCCTGATGGTGGTGCTCACGTTATGGGCCTGTTTACCATTTGGCTGAAAGTTGAGCCACAGAGTTCAGTTCCAGGCTTGAAGGGTGTATAAAGGCCAAAATTTCAGGGTCTATCAGACCAGTATCTATCAGACCAGTAAGACTGGTCTTTTTTATGATTTTGAGTTTTGTTCTACATTTTTCTCCCAGTCTATCCAGGACCTCCTAATGTGATCCCTTTCAAAGTGATCAGCAGTCGTAAATATTTCAAACTTCTTCATAAGGCTGTTTGCACACTTAATAGGCTACTGTATAATATAAACGTAACTTTTATATGCACTTAGGGAATAATCTAACACTTGAGACTTTTTCAGGGATAACACTATTCTTCCAACATCTCTGTCATTTTTGTTGTCTTGCAGATCACCCATTCCCTTTACTGAACGTAAGTGCTTATGATCACTGCTCCCTCCTCAGGATACCAGGCTTCTCCCTACCCTTCTGTTCCATCAGCACAGCAGCCTTGGTCCTGATGTGCCTGAGAGACTCTGAAATTCCCGCTCACTAACCTAATCTGTTAGGAGAGTCTGCCCATGGCCACAACAGCCTCACACCCAGAGCCCTGCCTCTGTCCCATTATTTCAGCCCCATCAGCCAAGACAGGTCTCCCCAGCCTCCCTGCAGGAGACAGCCTGACAAGAGCCAGAATGCTGCCCACCAGAGCCCTCCGGACTTGCCTTGCCCTTGTTTTCCATGACAGTTTAAAGGAGAGGAGACAAACCCCAAAAGGAGCATGTGCTGAGCCAAGACAGAACCAGGTAGAATGTTTGAGATTTTGGCCTTGTGCCCTCCACCCGGAGCCAAGGGTCCAGGGGCCATTGGTGTTTATGCTTAGAAGTGCTTAAGAGCATGGCCTTTGGGATGAACCAGCTGGCTGGAATCCCAGCTGAATCAGTCTAAGCCTCCAGTTTCCTCATGTGTAAATAAGGATAATTAATAGCTATCCCTAAAGGTTATTGTGAGGATTAAATGAGATAATGCAGGAGAACATGTGATGCAGTGCCTGGCATAGACTCAGCTCTCCATAAACAGAAGCTGTTATTCTCTGTGTCTTGAAACCATGAGGGGTTAAGAAGGACAGGACGTAAGGAGAGAGAATGGGGAAGAAGAGGAAGAAAGGAAAAAGACGATAGGAACCTTTTGGAACTGCACAGAAACAGAAGCAGAATTACAGCTCCAGTTGGGACTCTGCCTCCCCTCTTCCCTCCTGCAGCCATAAAACTGCCCCCGCCCACACATACACACATACTCCCTGCTTAGTCTGGCTCAGGCATGAAGGGACAGCCAGCTCTGTGTTCTCGAAGTCCCTGGAGCCCAGTACTTGGGGCCCTCCCTGCTCTAGCTGCCCTCAGATCCCTCTGCTGCAGCCATGCAGAGAGCTACGAGAGGGCTCCTGCCCCAGTGCCCATTGGCAGGCTTGCTGCTCCTCACCCTGTGCGCACATTCTTTGCAGAGTTTGATGGGGCACCGGGCGGATGACAGCAGGAACGGTTGTGATCACTGGCGGAATCCTAGCTACGGTGATCCTGCTCTGCATCATTGCTGTCCTGTGCTACTGTCGGCTCCAGGTCAGTCCCCGGGCCCAAAGCCAAAGGCTACCAAACCACCAGCAAACCATTATGGGGGCAGAAACTGGAGACCCACTTCAGGGGTAACAAAGCCCAAAGTCATGGAAACTAAGAGGTGTAAGTCAAGGAGGCTGAGAGTTGGGGTGGTCCGAGGGGAGCTGTGTCCTCCCACACTCTGCACACTTCAGGATACCCAAAGAAAGTGTGCATAGGAGATACTGGGTCATCACGTTGTGTCTATGGTATCATTATAGTATGTTGCCTACACTCAGTGAGGCTTCAGGTATGGTGAGAAGGACACCATCCCAGATAGTTTGAAAGCAGCTCCCAGCCACCCCCAACCCTATCCTCATTATGATTTGTAAGTCCCTCTGTCCCCGACTCCCTCTGTCATGGTCTAGAGTTAATACACTGGGAAGTAAGGGGAAGGAAACAAGAAAGAAATGCTGGTCTTACAGGGAGTCCCTGGGTGGGACAAAGGGTTAAGCGCACCACTACTAACCAAAAGATTGGTGGTTTCAGCCCAGCCGGAGGCACCCCTGAGGAAGAGGCTGGTGATCTGCTTCCGAAGGATCACAGCCTTGAAAACCCTGTGGAGCCCAGTTGTGCTCTGCACACGTGGGGTCACCATGAGTTGGAATCGACTCAATGGCAATAGTTTTGCTGGTCTTGCAGATCTCGGAATATTTTCTTATAGAACACGGGCTCCTGGTGTTCCGTTTTATCCCCAGCACCAACAGGTTACTTGATGGAACAAGGAGGCGTAGGACCTGTGCACACTCAGGAGTGCACTGGGGCTAAGAGGCGCATCATCCCCCTCTCAGGCATCCTTCTCCCCTCTCCCTCCAGTATTACTGCTGCAAGAAGAGTGGAGCTGAGGATGCAGACGACGAGGAGGAGGAGGGGCACGACCTCTCTGTGCACCCCAGAGGCCCCACCTGCAACGCCTGCAGCTCCCAAGCCCTGGAAGGCCGAGGCAGCCTGGTGCCTCTTGCCGGCGAGCCCTGCAGCCAGCCATGCGGGGCATCGGGCAGCCACTGCACCACCTGCTCCCCATACAGCTCCCCCTTTTACATACGGACAGCTGACATGGTGCCCAATGGGGGAGGAGGCGAGAGGCTCTCCTTTGCTCCCACATACTACAAGGAGGGGGGACCCCCACCCCTCAAAATGGCAGTGCCCCAGAGTTACCCGGTGACCTGGCCAGGCTCTGGCCATGAGGCCTTCACCAATCCAAGGGCTATTAGTACAGACGTGTAACCCTTTTCACCCCCACCCACACACCCACCAATGCAGCTGCCCCGGCAGGGGCAATGTGGGCAGCGGATTACCCCCTGCCAGTTCCACAAGGACTCCCTGGTGTCTTTGGCTTTTCTTGCCCCACAGTGGAAGGTTCACAAAAATTCAAAGTGTAGAGTGCGTTGAAAACTAGGGCAGAGCCTGGCTCCAACCCTGTGTCCTAGATATGAGGGCCTGAAAGGTGAAATTTGCACCTCTGCCACTTCATCTGTTGGAACATTCCTCTGGTCAATCCCAGCACTGCTACGCCCCGTCTTCTGGCTTTACGTGACCGTGAGAAGAGCAGCGGCAGGGAAAGCTAAGCAGTGGTTCTAAAGGATTCCATGAGTCCTTGAGAGATTAAATGATCATGCCTAGAAGTAAGGGGGACAAAAGGCAAGGAAAGAGTTGAGAATTAAAACATTCCAGAATCTGAGAAGGGAGGGGAAGGTATGTTAAAGGGACCTCTCTTTGCTAAAAGAAATCTGAGAGCTAATTTACAATCGAGTTGCTTTGTACTTTGGTTATCACAGGTACTACAGTCACTGTAGCTGTACCAATAGGATATCGATTCCCAACCCACCACGTATATATCTGCTCCCTTCCTCACGGAACATGTCAAGTTGACTTTATCAAGTCCATGGCTGACCACGTACAGCTCCATGGGAGAAAAATGAGGCAGTCTGCTTCTATAAAGAGTTACAGCCTTGGAAACCCTATGGGGCAGTTCTTTCCTGTCGTATAGGGCACTATGAGTTGGAATTATACTCAATGGCAGTGGATGACATAAGGTTATTTGTGGAGGCTGCACCAAAAAGTGATTATCTAACCCTGTCTCCCCAAAGTCCCCTTTCTCTTTCTTGGGAACCAGCTGCCCCCTGCTGGAGAACTTTTTCAAGTTTCGTTACCAGAGTTTTAGTAGCTTGGTGATTGAGATCTTGCGGATTGTCTCTTGGACCCACCACAATGTGAGGTGTGCAGGATGCAGACCTGTGAAGGCATGCACACACACATAGGCACAACACCAGCAGACACTGAGGACTTTGCCACCCTCAAGAGCTGCAAAGTGAAAGGATCTCAACTATAAAGAAAAATCTGACCTGCAGTCAGCACCAACAAAAAGATGGATAAGGTGACCGATTCCTGTAGCAACTTGCTGGCTGGTACAGGAAGAGCCAGAAGCTTCCTGGGGCATTGCTACAGCCGCTGAAGCCACATTAGCCCCTCCAGAGGCCAGGCTTTCTACTGAGCATCTGCCCTTGAAGCCGTAGCCCACTTCATTTCCACCAGAGGCAGCAGCCCTTGCTTCTATACACTGGAAGGATTTCACTCCCATTTCTCACTTATAACTCAGCAGTGGCCTTGTGGTTTTGAGTTAATGCATGCACGTAATGAGTTTTCCAGATGCCTCTGTGGTAAGGAGTTGCTGTCTTCCCTATTCTCAGGATATCCCAACCCTCCCACCCACTCCTAAATCTGAATGCTGCTAGGGACCAGGTAGGAAAGGAGCTGCCTCTTCAGCTGGAATCTCTACCATTAACAAAGAACAGGGAGCATTTGAGGGAGTGGGGAGGGAGAAGGAATCCACACCTTTTACATCACTCTGTTCAGGGTGTCTGACACTGCATCTCAGTCTTTAATTCAGGGCTGCTGGCTGCTAACCAGAAGGTTGGCAGTTCAAACCTACCAGCCACTCTGTGGAAGGAAGACTGGGCAATCTACTTCCGTAAAGATTTACAGCCTTGGAAACCTAAAGGGGGTCACTATGAGTCGAATCAACTCAATGGCAGTGAGTTTGGCATGTGAGTCAGAGGACCTGGGCTCTGGTCATATTTCAGTCACTCAGTAGCTCTAAGGCCACTTATCCTAAGGCTCTATATATTCTCAGTGAAATGAGGCTTGTCCAGAGGGACTCTAAGGGCCCTTTAGTGCGTCACAAAGCCCTAACTTATCTGAGAGATCTACAGTGACACTCACTCTTGCCATAATACTGGCAGGGACTGGATATATTTTCCAACTATCTGGTCCTGTGTGCAGGGATGTTAGCTGAGTGAAAGTCCACAGTGAAATACAAGAGTAGCAGGCAAAACCATTTTAACTGTCAGAGAAGACAAACATGTTTGACCCTCCTACTGAATGGCTTCAGATGGTAACGCTTGTCCAAGAAGGGGAAGTAGTGAAATCTAAGTCCAGAGGGGGCAGCAGAGGACAGCAGCTTTCACACACCCCATACCACCGCAGCCCTCACTGGGCCAAGTACATCTCCTTGACATGAGCTGCTGAGTCTGGCAGTCATCCTTTCTGTCTGAGGGCCAGTCCAGTGTCTTGCTCCCACAGGCAGTGAACCACAGCAGCCACGTCCCTCCTCATCAAAAATAACAATGTCATCTTACCTGCCCACCTTTGGAAAAATCAAGGCAATCCCATTAACTGTATCACATGCTTCTTGTCCCTGACCTGTGAGGGTCTCTGAGTACAAATCAGTTTGTACAATCCCATCTCTGCCTAAAGCTTTCTCAGCCTACATCCTGTCAACCAAAAAGTAAAATCTGTGTGTGGGGCATTGGAGAGATGGTGGGCTAGGCTCTTCCCTGCACAGCCCCACTGCCACAGGGCACAGGCTGCGACCCAGGCTCACGATCCCCTGCCCACCTCACTAGCTGTGGAGGCTGGAACTGTGGGGAGGGAAGCTCATCCCACTCAACTGCACTGTACTTTTTTAGTTGTGGAGTTTGTACTAAGGGACACAATTTGTACACTTTTCTCAAACTGCACCCTAAACAGGAAGAGAAGGAGACAGGACTGTAGAACACACAGTTCCCTCCACCGTCTTCTCTCCACCTCCACGTCACTTCTGCTACAGATTTCTTGCCCTGCACCTTTGATAACTTGGAGTTGCAACCAAGTGAATGTCAAAAATAAATGAATTTGAAATAGATTCCAGAGTCCTCTGTTCTTTCCCTGGGGAGGGGAAGAGGGGCATAGATTTAAGAGTGAGCGTTCCCTGTTGCTTCAGCTTCAAAAGTCTTCCTTTTCTACAAGCAGAGCGTCCATTTTCAGCATCAAATTCTAGTGTCCTCTCCCCTGCTGCTTACGCATTAACAAATCCCCTCCACTGTATTGCTTGGTACCCCCATTACCTCAGTTAGAGTTTCTGTCTAAGGAAGATCATTTATTCATTGGAAAAGGGGATTAAAGTGTAGTTTCTGTTGTCCTTGAAGTTGAGGTGACCCTGTCTGAGATGGTGAGCCTCACTGGGGAGCAACCCAGGCCTTGGCCCCTCTTGCTGGCCCCCTCCCCACTCTCACTCTCCAGGCTTACGGCTTTTTCATCTCTGTAGCTTTGAGTCAGTCAGCTCTCTGAGGCCTAAGGAGACCCAAACCAAGTTTCACATAGCTAGCCCTTTGCATGCTGGGAAAGGAGGGAAGCGAAGAGGGTGTTTGGAACCAGATTCTTGGCTCAGACCCCAAGAGGGATGAAAAAACAGGAGACAGAATGTGGTAGGGACTGGAGGACCAGAAAATAGCTTTATATGTGAAAGGGAGAATTCAGGGAGGATGTGGGTGGGTCTGTGTGTGCTCTGCCCATGAGTGTGTGTGGGAGTGATGCGTCTCAACCCACCTCACAGTCACAATGAGCTTGGTAAAGCCAGCTAGCTCGGCAGTGGGCAGCCTGGCCATGAAGTCCAGCTCCCAGGCTCAGGTGCAGTGCCACAGCAGCCCTGGGAGCAGGCCTGGTAATACCAATGGGAGTAGCTTTACCCTCAGCACCAGGGAGCGTTTGGCCACAGCTTTGTCATCACTGTTGCCCTCTGAACAGAAACCGGGCCCTGAGGCATCTCTCTCCCATCAATGAGTTCACCCCAACCTCCTCCACCCTCGCAGTGCAACCCCACCTAAAAAGTACTTGGAAATAATCATTCCCTTTTCTTGGTAATCAAAACGTCCTATCTATCTCTGACATCCTAGGTTGGATTAATGTTATTTGGCAAACGTTTTATCTTCATTTATAGACAGAAATTTCCTTGAGGGCTAGATCCCCACAGTATCCTACAAGCACCTAGCATGGAGCCTTGCCCAGTTTGCAATCAGTCACAGTCTGCCAACAGAAGGAGGGTGCATTTCTCCTTTTCACTGAGGTTGTTAGCTGCAATTGTGTTGACCCCATTTCATGGTGACCCCATGCACAAAGGGATCAGATCATTGTGATCCATAAGGTTTTCATTGTCTGACTTCCACAAGTAGATCCCTGGGCCTTTCTTCCTGGTCTGTCTTAATCTGGAAGCTCTGCTGAAACCTATTCAGCACCACAGCTGACATAGATTGAGAAAGAACCAGAAGCCAGGCCCAGGCTAAGTACAAAAATAATAATAACATGCTATGCTGCATTAGGAATGGATTCAGTTCTTTCATACAATTGATTATTTAGTCATTAAAAAGAGCAAGATAGATCTACATGTAGTGATCCGACATGACATGCAAGACATACTAAAAAGAGAGCTGCAGACAATATGCATAACATGGTATCTTTTTTAAAAGCAAACTGACATATACTTCAGCATAGGAAAAAAAATCTGGACATAACTGAAAAAATGTTAACAGTGACTACCTCTAGGGGTAGAATCGAAGGGAGAATATATTTCTGTATTGTTTAATTCAATGCAAGATTGTTATTGATGGTGTAATTTTTAAAATATAAACCAAAAGGAACTCAAAAAATATTTTAAGAAAAAATCTATTCCTCTAAGCTATCCTCATGCCCCCACTTTTCCTCTGAAGTTTGGGGCTGCAGGTAACAAACTCTTCTCAGTAAGTCTTTGGGGAAGAACTTTGCAGTCAAATGTGAGTGTGAATCTTGGCACTATTACTTATAAACCAGACAACTTAGAGCAAGTTACAGAAATGTTTTGGGCCTCGTTTTCCTCTTTGTTCCATCAGGATCATAATATAAATCCCATGAGGGTGCCATGAAGATTACATGAA